CTACGTTTATTTATTTGTATACATATACCTATATTTGTTTTTTGTAGGTTTTTTTTAATATGTTTATTTGTATTTATGTATTTATACACATAAATATACGTAAACATGTATATTTACTGGTATATTTACGTATGAGTATATATATATATATATATGTATACTTATGTATATGTATTTACACATTAAATTATCACATTCATGCATTAATAAAACCACGATAGGCAACTGAACACGATGGCATGCTGGGGAAAAAAATGAAAGACTCGGCGGTCACTTCACGCTGGGGCAAAAAAATAAATTTTTCAGGGATGCAAAAAATAAATCGCGACTGTCTCTGTATTCTTTGATTAGTATTCTAGCGACTCCCAAACTGAACAAATTGCTTTGATCTTCATTCAAATAGACAGCCCCCTGGAACACTAATTCCACAACTTTAAGTCGTTAAGCATGAATTTGTGTATTGCCAGAAACCGTCGGCTTTTAGCTTTATCAATCCATCGCACCAAGCGTGGCGATGAAATCCCACAAACTCGTGAGGTCCAGAACTTGACCATGGAACTGCAGCAAATTATGATGGGTGATTTCAAAACGTTCATGCAGAAGGAAATTTACGAGCAACCAGATTCGATCGTCAACACAATGCGTGGTCGCATACTTGACAGTGGCAGTGTTGTTCTCGGCGGCGTTAAGGTTCTTCAGTTCTACATGTTAATCTTTGTCGAGTTCTCTTACACTCTGATTGATCAGATGGATGGATGGAATGCGCGGATGGAAGACCCAGCTGTTCTACTGCTGCTAGCACAGAAGCAGCTGTTGACCTTTTAATCATTGTAATGTTAGGGGTTGAATACCAAATGTTCAGCTTTTGGAGATCACACTTTTTTGGGAAGAGAAAAACCAGACGTATCGCTTCTTCCAATCTTTATGTACTCAATCAGCTCACCTGTTAGCTGTTTTCTGTATTCTTGCCCCATAACAACGATTATCCTAAAGAATGCATTGAAAAATAATCATTTCTGTGTTGCTAAAGGCACCGGTATCGGGCATTGTGTTTGAATGCAACCAAGCTGATGCCTGTCCAACTGAATCAGAATAAAACAGGATGCTGCGACTTCGGCCATTTTCTGACACAGGCGTTTTTCTATTTCAGGACTACTTGCCTGACATTAAACGATGTCGACGACTTATCCTAGTGGCTTGTGGCACTTCATACCATTCAGCGATTGCGGTTTGTTTTCATGGATTTCCGTTCTTTTTTATTTAGCCATAGACATTACACAAATAAAGATGGAAGTTTTCCAAGAAGCTGGAGAAATTGAAATTATCTCACACAAGCACATAGTCGATTGCACATTTGTGTAATATTTTGTGCATTTCTGCCGTCAATTCGATTCTAATTAAAACCCGGAAATGCATAGTAATGCAAAGTATAACAACCAGATGTGTTATCTTTCTCATCGACTATTTGCATTTGACTGAATGGGTAATACGGTGTCACAATTTTCACGCATTTTTGCATATTTAAGACGCATGTTGACGAAAGGCTGTCTGCGTTTTTGTATGTATGTGTGTGTGTGTGTGTGTGTGTGTGTGCGTGTGTTCGTGCTTTTGTTACTCATTTATAACTCAGCAACCGGGAAAACTAGGAAACTGAAATTTCTGGGGCATATTTACACCCCGTGTACAATGCTTCACCTTTAAAATTATTGTTCACGTATGCCTGTATTTCAAGTATGGACTTCTAAAAAAATTTGTGCAAGTTTTTTGGAGAGAAATTTCGGGAATTTCGGGAATCAGACAATGTAAGAAGCCGAAACTTCACAAGCGTATTCTGTATCTTCATACGAACTAGAGATTTTAAATTCAGCTCGAACGCACACGTGTCTGCCTATATGACGCACTAAGCTTCTCTGATTTTACGAGAATATCAGTATGTGAATCTGTACAAGTGAAATAAGCATTCGTGTACGTCTGTTTTACGTATACAAGCACGTCAAACCATTTTTGGAGGAAAAGCCATTTCGAGAGCTAGCTAAGCAGAGAAGATGAAATTTTCCAGTAATACAACTGGTGCATGAGGGGAACATTTGAAATTTATCCTATAGTAAGTTCACTTTTGGCATCTATTTGACTCGTGATTTAGACTGCGTGGGGAGCTACACTTTATGAAGGTACCCATTGTTCACGTGCGGATCCGTATGCACAAAACTGGCAACTGACATGTCTCGTGCTTGATTACATCATGTACTACTTGCTGTGGGCAATCTTCTCCTCCTGAACATTTGCTAGGCCAATAAGCTTTTATATTTTTGAATTTTACATATGCTACAAGAAAAATGTATCCTCTTCTGTCTTAACTCATAATTATTTTCTTCGATTTTTTGTTGTTATATATTTCCTCCTTTCTTTCAAATCGATACTTTTACAGCGATTTATTTCTAATTTCACTTATGCGGCATTCGAGATCCCTTTTTATGCGTTTTTTGCAGCAATGCAATGCAAAAAACGCATATTGACGAGAGGTTGTCTGTGTGTTTTTATGCGTTTTTTGCAGCAATGCAATGCGAAAAACGCATATTGACGAGAGGTTGTCTGTGTGTGTATGTGTATGTGTGTGTGTATGCGCGCGCGCGCTGGGCCTCTGTTCCGATTTTTCATCTGGAGATCGGCGAAAGCTACGGGGCTGAAACTTTGGGGACTTAATCTACATGTACGTACGGGCCCCTCTCCCCAA